TGAAGCAGAACCTGAAATGACTGCAACATTCAGTCAGGTGAGTGCCCACGGGAAGTCCAGGGTGGCAGTGTGGGGTGTGGTGGAGGAAGCTCTCAGGTGCTTCTGGAGCAGAGGTAACTCAAGGCCAGAGACCTGCCATTGAGACATAGGCTCTGGCTGCCTATTCCTGGAGTACTCATCTGTATTATTGCAGAACTCCCATTGCAAATGCTTTGTTGGGTACAGATTAAAATCTCTACTAAGTGCTCAGCTGGCACCCTGGAGGTGTATAATCAGAAACCATCATTCCTCTTAAAGCTTCGTGTTTGCATGCAAACATTCATTTAAATAGCTCAGGCCTCAAGATCATAATGCAATTCTAAACTCTTGTCCCAGGACCTGCCCAGTTTTGTGGATGCAAATATTGCCACTGAAAATAATCCAAAAACATTATCCAAGATTTTCCAGCAAAAGTAGGGTCAGAAACCCAGGGAGAGAATTAGTCTATTTCACTTACTCTATTAGATTAGGAATAATGAAAGGGGAAAGAGCAGATGCATTTCTTGTAAATCAAGACTGAAACCTCCACAAGCACAAAGACCATGTTTCTTTCTATTTATCATTGTATTTGTGACACCCAACATGATGGCCAGCAAAAAATACTTGTTGTGCGATTGGCCTAATAGATAAATGAATGAATGAAGCATGAAAAGTTTGAAAAGGAAAGACCAGGCCAGGTGCGGTGGCTCATGTTTGTAATCCCAACACTTTGGGAAGCCAAGGTGGGTGGATCACTTGAGGTCAGGAGTTTGAGACCAGCCTGGCCAGCATGGCAAAAACCCGTCTCTACTAAAAATACAAAAATTAGCTGAGCATTGTGGCAGGCGTCTGTAATTCCAGCTACTTGGGAGATACAAGAATCACTCAAACCCAGAAGGCAGAGATTGCAGTGAGCTGAGATTGCGCCACTACACTCTAGCCTGAACAACAGAGTAAGGTTCCATCTCAAAAAAAAAAGAAAAAAGAAAAAGAAAAGGGAAGACCAAATGATGCTCTCAGAGTCAGGTTCAAATAATATTCTGCATTGTCTATCTCTGGTTTTTGTGCAAAAGCAGATTACTTCTGAAGGGCCCTTTCCATTCCATCTTGTGGTTCTTCTTTTTTTGTTTTTTCTTGAGATGGGGTCTTACTATGCTGCCCAGGCTGGTCTTGAACTCCTGGGCTCATGTGTTCCTCCTGCCTCAGGCCCCTAAAGAGCTAAGATTACAGGTGCATACCAAAATACGCAGCTCTATCTTGTGATTCATCTGCAGCATTAACTGATATAAAGGACATTGGCCATTTTTGCCTGCCCAGTGTCCATTCCCTTTTTCTATTAGGTCCCCCATTTCCTTTTAGGAAATCATCTGTTCTCATTTAATGTACTCTTCTTAAGAGGGTGCGTCTTGGTAGGCACCTCCCACCATGAAAGGTGAAGGAAACTTTTTTCTTCTGTTTGCACCTGTAAGGACCAATGCGACCTAAACTCAAGTGAGCAGATATTCTCTCCAGTATTTGACTCTCGACCAAGTGACCCAAGAATGGAAGGGATAGTTGGAAGTCATTTATTTTGGCAGGGGTGTTGCTAAGAGAAAAAATTCAAAGAAATTAAATTTAGGCGGGGCACAGTGGCTCGCGCCTGTAATCCTAGCACTTTGGGAGGCCAAGGTGGGTGGATCGCCTGAAATCAGGAGTTCAAGATCAGCCTGGTCAATGTGGTGAAACCACACCTCTACTAAAAATACTAAAATTAGCCGGGCGTGGTGGCAGGCACCTGTAATCCCAGCTACTTGGGAGGCTGAGGTGGGAGAATCGCTTGAACCCGGGAGGTGGAGGTTGCAGTGAGCCGAGATCGCGCCATTGCACTCCAGTCTGGGTGACAGGAGCAAAACTCCATCTAAAAAAAAAAAAGAAAGAAAGAAAGAAAGAAAATAAAAAAAGAAAGAAATTAAATTTAACAGAATTTAACTGAGCAAATAATAATCCTCAAATTGGGCAGCCCCCATTCAGAATCAGAACGTTCAGAGAGATTCCAGCACTGTCACATGGTCAGACACGAATTATAAATAGAAAAAGGAAAGAAACATACAGAATACAGAAGTGAGACACAGAAACAGTTGGAATGGTTATAGCTTGGCTTTTGCGTTATTTGAACACTGAACAGTTGGCTGTCTGTTGAGTGGCTGAAGTATGGTTTCTGTGATTGCCTGAGGCTTGGCTACTTGTTTGGGTTTTTTTGTTTGTTTGTTTTTGTTTTTGAGACGGAGTTTTGCTCTTGTTCCCCAGGCTGGAGTGCAATGGCACGATCTCGGCTCACTGCAAGCTCTGCCTCCCGGGTTCACGCCATTCTCCTGCCTCAGCCTCCCGAGTAGCTGGGACTACAGGCGCCCGCCACCACGCCCGGCTAATTTTCTGTATTTTTAGTAGAGACGGGGTTTCACTGTGTTAGCCAGGATGGTCTCGATCTCCTGACCTCGCGATCCGCCCACCTCAGCCTCCCGAAGTGCTGCGATTACAGGCATGAGCCACCGCGCCCGGCCCTAAATGCTTTTCTTAATTCTCCAACTCTATGAGGTATATCCCATTTTACAGATGAAGGAACTGAGTCATGGAGAGGTTAGGCAGCTTTGCCTAAATCATAAGGATTCTAAGTGCCGAAACTGGTCTTCAATTATGGTATATCTGACTGCAGAGCTCTTGCTTCTAAGCATTGTGTGTAACCTCCCTCTCAAAGAATCTCAAAGCAGTGTGATATATGCTTACACAGGTGTGTATAAAGTTCACAGAGGAGAAAGCAACTAATTTTGTGGGGAGGTTGGGGTTCAAAATAGGCTTCACAGTTGAAGAGGTTTGAGTAATCTTGAAGGAAGAGAAGGGTTGTCTTCCTGGTGCCTAGCATAGAACTTTGCATATGAACACTGTAAAATGATGATTAAGCAGCTTATGCTTCTGGAAGGAGTTGTTTTCCTGTTTACATGGAGCCTGGGGTGTTTCCTACTGCCTACTGCAGCATCATTTTTGTGATTTAGCAATGGCATGTGAAGTAATCAGATCATCTGTATATCACCGATGCTCACAGAAGCCTGTAAGGTAAGTAGTACACGTATACACTTTGTAAGATGAGTGAGGAAACCAGGGCTGAGTTTGCATGATTTGTCCAAAACTATACATGGTGAGTAAGTGGTAGAACAAGACAAGGGGCCAGCCCCCTGAGGAGGGATTGGCTAACAGGATTCCTCTAATCTAGCCAGACTCCTTTACTCCTCTTAGCCTGCAGTTCAGACTTTGCTCTTTCCAGACTTGGCATCTGAGTTTCTGAAGGTTTCCTCAGAATATCTTCCCCATCCTTCTCAGTTCCAGCTCTCCAAGTACCACTCATCTTCCAAGATCTATCTCATTGTGCATCTTCCTCGCAAGCCTTCTCCAAATTCATTCAGCTCACTCCTTAAGCTTCAGTTAAATCCCTTAGCCTTGCTTCCATCCAGATTCCTGCTCTGAAAACTTTCTACATGGTTAGACTCATCACTGCCATTCAGCTTCCCTCATCAGAACTCCTGTTGCCAAATCTCTCCAGCCTTAGGTTGGTCTTTAACTGTTGTTTTCTTGTCTCTCACTGAAATGTAAGCTCCATGAAGCACAGCTACATGCTTCTTTTTTAGCCTTATACACTCAGACGTATATTCACTTTAGGATCAATAGTGTTTGTCAACTCAAATAGGGTGTGTGGGATGCATGATCCCACCTTCTGTTAGATTATTCAGCTCCTAAGTCATGCAAAACCGATACCTTGTAGACCTCCTTTCTAAAGCTCCTGCAGGGTGGGGGAAGAATGCACGGATTCTCATAGGTGCATTTAGCAATTACTAGTAACCAGCACTTAATGAATGCTTACTAATTGCTAGGTCCTGTACAAAATACATTACATACATAAACTTATTCAATCTTCATGACAACTATTATTATCCCCACTGAACAGATGAAGACACATAGAGGTCACTCAGCTAGTAAGTGGCGCAGCTAGGATTTAAAACCCAGACCGACTCCAGAGTCCATCCTCTTAATTATGACACTAAATTCTTTATGGGTAACAGAAAGCCTCTAATTGTAATGTAGATCAATTTCCTTGCTTTCTAACCCAATGGGAAGATGCAACTAAAAGGGTGAGAAAATAATATTTATTATACTCCTACTATGAGTCAAGTATTATAAGAGGTGCATAATGGGTTAATGATATAATTCTTGCAATAAGTCTAGGAAGCAGGAAGTATTAACTCCATTTTAAAGAATTTGGCTTCTAAAGTGGTTAAATACAGTGCTCAAGTTTTAGCTTCCAGTTATGGGCAGAGCTGGAATTAGACCAGGTTTTCTAACTTTGAAGGAAAGACTTTAAAGGAGACTGTATGGAAAACCCTGCCAAGGGCAAATGTGAAGGGCACGTGAAAAGACATCTGAATTATTACTTATAATAATTCAGAAATAGTCAATGTGTGGCGCATATTGAAGAATGGTGAGAGATTGTCAAAAAATCTATTCTGTAAATACTCACAGAGGAATAAGCTAATTAAATACGGGAGCTGCGGGTCTTGGGCTAGGACATAAAGCCCAGAACTTCCCGTGAGGCAAAGGCACCGACTGCGCCACCTGTCCTGGAGAACCTGGGAACCCGCTCTAGAGACTTGGGCTCAGCCCCTTTTCTTTCCTCACACTCTAATTGGCTACTTTTCCCTGGGCTCCGCCTCCTTCTCTGTCTGGACCATTAAACAGGCAAGCCCTACCCAGGACCTGGAAGCGGCCTCCAATCAAGTGCCAGGCCCTGGAATCCCTCTAGAGAAGCCCCCTCTCCGGCGAGGCGCTTTGCTCTCGTCCGTGATTGGCCAGGCAGCAGCATGGGGTCCGCCTCCTTCTCTTCCAGATAGGTCAGCGGTCTTCAGGACCACATCCCTTTCGGCCGGTCCCTGCCGCTCTTTCCCTTCGCTGCGTGGCCTTGGGCGAGCCCGGTCCTCTGCGGAGAGCGCCCCGCCCTCTGTGAAGGCCCGCCCGGGAATTGGCGGCGGCGCTGCAGCCATTTCCGGTTTCGGGGAGGTGGGTGGGGTGTGGAGCGGGACTTGGAGCCGCCGCCGCCGCTGCTGCCGCTGCCGCCGCCCACAGAGCCTGCCTTGCGCTTGGTGCTTGCCAGGAAGATGCGGCCGGGGCCCGGAGGCTGCTGCTGTCGCCGCACGGTGCGGGCGAATGGCTGCGTGGCGAACGGGGAAGTACGGAACGGGTACGTGAGGACCAGCGCCGCAGCCGCAGCCGCCGCCAGCCAGGTACGAGGGGCCCGCGCGGCGGGGCCGGGGTGGCGGTGCGGGCTGGCGAAGGGGCAGCCGGGCAGGGCGAGATCTCCTGGCCATCCGCTGGGCAATCCGCCGGATGGGCGCCGCTCGCAGGTGTGGGCGGCAGTCTCCGGCCGCTGGTCCGACCTCCACGAGCATGGAGGCTCAAGGACGACTCGGGGGCTCCCCACGTCCCCGCGCCTAGAGGTCTTCCTCCCTTCCCCCCGGAGCTCTGGGTTCTGCTCAGAGCCCCGGGTACCTTTCTCTGACCCATCCTGCCAGAAGTGTATGCCACCCCCAGGGGAAGCAATGAGGGACCCCTCGGACTCCAGTGGGAGCCACCCAAGGGCTCCCGAGTGTCCCTTCAAACCCCCGAGGTTGTTGCTTCCTCTTAAAGTCCTGTAGCCTTCCAAAGAAAACCACCCATGGGGTCCTTAAGAGGCAAAGAAAGTTAGGCGGTGGTGTCAGATGGAAACACACCCAGCCTCTCCCAACCATATTCTGGACTACCACGTTCGCTCCCCAAGCAGGACATTGGTCCGTAGATCTGGCAGGGAATCCAAGCTGGTCCCTCGAAAGCATCGTTCTCTTAACTCTGCCCGTGGTGAGACTCTACCCCAGGCTCCGGGTTGAATTGGGTGGCCCCTTCGACCCTTTTCTGAACACGAGTGCTATCACACAAGGGGATTGTTTAGCTTGGTGGTGACTTGCGATGACTCCGTACTAATTAACCATGCTGAATCATCAACCAAGTTCAGGCAGTTCTAAAATATTTTGAAAAGTTCTAAATTCAAGACAGTGCTTATTATCAACCTTACAGTGCTCTAGACTGGCAAGTATTCTGTTGAAATGTGTTTTTAAAGATGAGCTGGTTAAAAAGATGCAAGATCGGTGTTCCTGGAAGAGAATGTTGGGATAATTTCCAGTTGACTTTAATACGTTTAAGTCTTGTACAGATACTCAGGAACACTTAGAAAGTACCCTGTTCCCCTTTAGCAGGAGTGTGATAGGATGGTGATCTTCATTTGGCTTTAACAGAAATATCTGGCAGGCTCCACCCGAGATGAGTAGTTATGATGGATAGATCTGTTACTGTTTGGTGTGAGGCAGAAAATAATGCATTTTTCCAGGTCGTGTGAGATATTGAGACTGAGAGTTGAGGGGAAAAATAAGTAAAACAGACTTGACCTCCCCTGAAGTTGTAAGTTGTCAAAGCGAAGTAATACACAGATCAAAAGATTTGTTTTCACTTTTAAAGAAAGAATTGTGTGAGGGAGGAGGTGATAACAATGAGCTCATTATAAGCAGTGGAATAGTTTGTCGTTTTCCTAGCAATGTAAACGACTTATAAGACAAAATTGTTGTGCTATAGAATGTGATAGGGAAATTTAACGGGTAGGAGTTAGAAAATACATTGTAGGTGAATGAGTGAGGTTTTTTTTTTTTTTTTTTGAGATGGAATTTCGCTCTTGTCGCCCAGGCTGGGGTACAGTGGCGCGATCTCTGTTCACTGCAGCCTCCACCCCGTGGGTTCAAGCGATTCTCCTGCCTCAGCCTCCCGAGTAGCTGGGATTACAGGCGCCCGTCACCACGCCTGGCTAATTTTTGTATTTTTAGTAGAGACCATGTTGGCCAGGCTGATCTCGAACTCCTGACCTCAGGTGATCCACCTGCCTTGGCCTCTGAAAGTGCTGGGATTACAGGCGTGCCCGGCCGAGGTATGATTTTTTTTTTTTTTTTTTTTTTAATGAAAAAGGAAGTCAAGAGAGGTGTTCACGCTTCAGAGGTGCTTTGTGTTAAAATGCTGCTTTCAATCCCTGTGAGTTATGTTCTGATTTAGTAGGAATCAAGGACCTTTCTCCCATAATCTCTAACAATTTAGCATTTGTAGAATGATATTTCTTCAGAGCTTGTCAACTAATAAGGTGAATAAATATCAAGGTACTAACATGACATTTTAAAATCTGTGTAAATAACATTTGGTTGACTTTTGGGGACATGTTTTATAAAAGTTTCACTCAAGGCACATTGGTGGCATTTAAAAGAATGGTCTGTTGGAATGCCGTGAGGGCTGCAGTATCCCTTCTAGAAAACTTACTTCTCACCAGTATTTTTTAAACAGACTTCAGATCTGGAGCTTTCTACACTCTCAGATGGAGGAATATTGTCGGTGAATTTTTTTCTTTCTTTTTTTATACAAAAGAGAGATCTTGGTAACTACATGAGAACTATACAGTATCTTAACATTTTTTAAAAGTTGTTTTCATTTTAATTAAAGCGATGTGCCTGTGCTCCAACCTCTACCTGTCTTTCCCACTTTTCTGAGGGAAATGTTGCCAATTGTGCCATCAGAAATACGCATACAGCTGTGTGTCATGCTTTTACTGGAATGTGAATTTAGAGTATAACATGGTTGAGATGTAAATTATTTTCCTCACATCTCCCACCATGTCTTTTAATGAACAGGAGAGAAGTCAGAAACGTCTAAGATCACTTTACACTCTCGAGTATGTTTCTATGCTTGAAGGCATGAATGAATGTATATAGTAAAAGAACAACTCTTGGATTTGGGTTTAGAATTTGATTAGCTAGATGCTGTGTTAAGGAGTTATGAAACAATCAGACATTGCTGTTTAGTGATGACAGTAGACACACAGTTTTCACAATAGTAGCAGCTGAACAATAAAGCAGTAATTTTTCCTCTTTGCTATTCAGATGAGTGGGAGGAGCACAAACCTTTATTTGAGGTAAAGTATGGCAATTTGCCCAAGGGAAACTTTTACATTAGCATTGGAAAGAACCTTTGAGAGTTTATGTAATTCAGTCCTTTATCTCTTTGTAGGACTTTATTAAAATCAGTCCTGATAGAAAATTCTATGCTGTTTTTAAAGATCTCCAGGGGATTTGCAGCAAGTTTTTCTCTATAGCAAATTGCATTATTCCGTGATCTTAATTACCAAATTTCTTCCTGTGGATTTAACATTTGATTAAGTAAATGCCATGTTTTGGTTGTCCCTGAAATACAATAGTTTGTTTGTGTGTTTGTTTTTAAAACTCCATGTTAACAGCTCTTTTTAAAAGAGCTTCCATTTCTGTATAGAACTTTGGAGATTTAGGTTTTCCTTTTACTTTCCTCAATTAGTTAATAAGTATGAAAGAAAAAAAAAATTACCTACCTTTGAGACAATTTTGACCCTAACTTTGTTCCCTTTGGGCATAGTTTTTTTTTTTTTTTTTTTTTTCGCTCTGTCGCCCAGGCTGGAGTGCAGTGGCCGGATCTCAGCTCACTGCAAGCTCCGCCTCCCGGGTTCACGCCATTCTCCTGCCTCCGCCTCCCGAGTAGCTGGGGCTACAGGTGCCTGTCACCTCGCCCGGCTAGTTTTTTGTATTTTTTAGTGGAGACGGGTTTTCACTGTGTTAGCCAGGATGGTCTCGATCTCCTGACCTCGTGATCCGCCCGTCTCAGCCTCCCAAAATGCTGGGATTACAGGCTTGAGCCACCGCGCCCGGCCTGGGTGTAGTTTTAATGAGATGTTAGAAGGATGAGAGCTCTCTGGCTGTCAGAATAAAAAATTCTATCTCGAGGAATTGGGGCAAAAGTTATGTTCTTATGTTAAATAATAAGACAAGCAAAGTAGAAAGAACAAAGTGTTAGTCTTGCTTCTTAGGAGGAGGCAAATAAATAACTAATGAAAGCTGATTAGCTTTTAACAAAAGCTACTAGCTTTTGTTTCCACTGAGGGGAAATAGTAACTGGGGATTTAATGTGATAGTTAAGGAAAAGGAGAAGATAGTTATGAGGCCGTAACAGTAGAAATAGTTAGAATGGTCATATACCTGTTTAGATTTAGCAGGTTCTGATAAGATACCTCAGATTCCTCAAGGCTTTTCAGAAATAATGTAATTACAACTTGCAGGACGACATTTTCGTTTCGATTTTTGCTCTGAGGGGAAGCATATCTTGATTTTTACGTAACTGCAGCTGAAGAATTCCAGTTATTTGAGGTACTTAGGAATTTTCTTTAACAGGAATTCTTGGGAAATGTGTAAGCAACTATGTTCTTAAGATAGTATTTTAGAACTAGGATGTTCAGAAAAGTCAGACTTGCCCACTTTTTAGGGTTTGCCCAGGTGCCATAGAAACTTGCAGTGCTTTGAGCAAGACAGTTAATTGGTTGATTTAATTAGATTCAATTTTTGAAAGAAAGAAGCAGTGTTTATTGGTAGAATAGGCAATTCAGAGGGATGGGTAGAGGCAGTGTTTGCATTCTGAGTGGGTGTGCCACACTTGATTAAATAAATGGTTTGTGGACTCAAAGGCAGTTCCCTTCTGGGTAGTTTCTGAGAAGCTTCTGTAATATAATTCACAATTTGTGACCGATTAAAAAGTAAATCCTTTGCTCTTGACCCATTTACTGTTAGAAAATTTATCTTAAGTTTGTCTTTAAGACTACTTTTTATTACAAAGCTTGACGCGTCTATTTTTCCTTTTTTTTAAAAAAATCATTTTTACTTCTCATTATAGAAATAATACGTTTAATGTGGGATTGTAAAGCATTGGGATAATCTCTGTGTTAGGTTTTTTTTTTTTGAGATGGAGTCTCACTCTGTCGCCCAGGCTGGAACGCAGTGGCGCCATCTCAGCTCACTGCAACCTCCACCTCCGAGGTTCAAGTGATTCTCCAGCCTCAGCCTCCCGAGTAGCTGGGATTACAGGCATACACCACCAGGCCTAGCTAATTTTTGCATTTTTAGTAGAGACAAGGTGGAGGTTTCACTGTGTTGGCCAGGCTGGTCTCGAATTCCTGACCTCAGGTGATCCACCTGCCTCGGCC